CCACTTTGTGTTTGAACACAAGTAATAGCTCTTGCATACATATCTTTAATGATTTTAATATAAGCATTATTGACTCCTTTCTTTTCAAGAACTCTCCATAGCACTTCTCTTGGAACTTTATCATATGCTTTTTTCTAAATCAATAAATATCATATGTAGATCCTCCTTATTTTCTCTATATTTCTCCATCAAACCTCTTAATAAATGTATGGCTTCCATAGTCGACCTACCCGGCATGAATCCAAATTGATTTTGAGAAACATTAGTATCACGCCGCAATCTATGCTCCATAACTCGCTCCCATAGTTATAAAGTATGACACATTAACTTAATACCTCTATAATTCGCACAATCTTGTGCATCACCTTTATTCTTAAAAATATGAATTAACACACTCATTCTTCACTCATCTGGCATCTTTTTAGTCTTCAAATAGTATTAAAAAGTTTAGTCAAAATGAGGAGACAACTAATTGAGAATAATGTAATGGTCCAAAAAATTTGCATCAAACAATTAAATATCATTAAAGTAAACCAAGCCCAAAATTACATAGATTACCTCTTGAGGAATTTAATCCCACATTTTAAAAAGGCCGTGTCAAACTTCTCATTTTCTTGGTGTTCATCTTCCAATGCAAGTGTTGTCCACCAACCACCAAACCTTTGATACCAATTTAAATATAATGGGGTGTCGGACTGAAATTACTAATGTGATCAATTGGTGGATGAGAGACTTTCCTAAGATAATTAAAAGATATAAGATTAATTTGGAGGAGTTTAATTTTAAGGTGGAAGTAAGGCTTAAAGAGTTTGGATTGTAAGCCATAATTCCTACAATCTGCCCAGAAATTGAACTAAAACTTCTACCCAATTGATATTCCTCTCTAGATATCCAAATTGAATAAACTTGGGCTTGAATTGCAGGTGAGGATATCTAGTTTAATTCTGGAGAGCTTAGTAAGGTTCGAAGAGTTTTAAGTGGTCCAAATGTGCTATGAAAGAGATGTAGGTAAGTTCTATCCAGAACAGACCAAAGTTGGGGATTTGATTATGGTTTTCTATAGAATGGGTGTAATTTAATAATTCCATTAAGAAATAATCAGGAAACTCCCTATATGAGATCAAGAAGTCTTGAGTTTTTTTTTATATTTTTTTTTTGAATTTTACATAGGGCTAGAAAAGAGTTATTGGACTGAAAAAACAAATAGAAAGTAGAATTGATTGATTTGTTCTCTAGAAATTTGAGAAGAATAACCCTAAATAAGTTTTAGGTTATTAGAGAATAGAATGTTAGCTAAGGATCTGGAGATTTTGGTAGAGTTTTATGGTGTTTAGGTTGGTCCAATACAAGCAAAGAGCAAAACTAGTCCAGCAGAAAAAGAGTTATGGCGGCCAACCCTTGGTATGGTAGTTTGATTAGGATTTTGAGGGAGGAAAATACGGATATAATTTTTTTAGGATAAGTTTCACACAGACTAACACACCACAACATATTGCAAAAAAAAAAAACAAGAGCAAAAAAATTGAACCCTACTTACCAAAGTAGATGATTTAAGAGGATCACCCAAACCTCTAGGTTGGCCGGCCACCAAGCCTCCAAACAATTGGAAATTCTTCTCCAAAACGTGCAACCAAATCAAAGTATCTTTAACTTCAGCCAAAAGAAGTTCTTATACAACTGAAGAGACACATCCCTTCATTCAAATTCAAACAAAGAGGGAAAAAGGAGCATAGGGAAGGTCGTCCCCTTGCTTGGGAATAGTAGCAACTGCCCTAACAACTCCCTCCTTCATGCTTGGCCAACCAAATCACAATCTAATCACTTGCTTATCCAACCACATGATTCCCTACCACTTAATTCCACTCTCCTTAACCCTTTTACACATAAAATAACAACTTGAGACAAAGTCTATACAACATTAAGTTTTCATACACATACAATCTACAAACATGAAAATACATTAAAAATAATAGAATAAATGCATAACTATTTCTTCATTTGCTGTTCATAGCTTGAGCGTCATATGCTCTTGCTCTTGCCGTAGTGATTGGACCGCTTTCATGTGCTACATAAAGAGTTCTTCTACTCTCCCCTCCAACTTTGGCATTCGAGCTAGAATCCAATTAAATTAATCTTAATTCAATTTTCACAACTCATTCAATCTCTAACCGACCATTATATGGCCCACAATCAAAGCATACCTTCACCTGCAACAAATCATTCCTAAGCCACGTGATTTGCAGCCATGATTTGCTCGCATGCATCTACTCCATCATCCATTCATAATGTGTCCATGAGTATCTCACTCAACCCCCTCACAACACTCATAACATCTAGAACGAGTTCACACACACATGTTTCTAGTTAAGTATCGTCAGTTGTGCTCATAGAG